CACTGTGCCGGCAACTGCAACGCTTCCATCAGGACAGCGCCTCCAGCTCCGCTTGCAGGGTTTCGAGCAGTTCGAGGGCTTCCATCCAGGCTTCCTCCAATTGCCCTTCGCGCACCTTGAGCTTGGCCTGTTCGGCGAGCAGGTCACGCAGTTCGTCCTTGCGCGCGGCTTCGTACACGGCGCTGTCGCCGAGGCTGGCTTCGATCTTGGCCAAGCGCTCATGCACCTTGCCCAGCTCAGCTTCCAGCTTGTCGGCTTCGCGCTTGTGCGGCGCCAGCTGCTGACGCAATGCAGCGGCGGCCTGGCGCTGGGCCTTCTTATCGGTTTTGTCCGGATTCACCGGGGTGTTGCTCACCGGCGCATTGCGCAGGCGGTAATCGGTCAGCCAACGGGCGTAGTCGTCGAGGTCGCCGTCGAACTCTTCGACTTTGCCATCGGCCACCAGCAGGAAGTTATCCGTGGTGCTCTTGAGCAAGTGCCGATCGTGGGACACCACCAATACCGCACCACTGAACTCTTGCAACGCCATGGTCAGCGCCAGGCGCATTTCCAGATCCAGGTGGTTGGTCGGTTCGTCGAGCAGCAACAGGTTCGGACGATCCCAGGCGATCAGGGCCAAGGCCAGACGGGCTTTCTCGCCGCCGGAAAAATTCAGCACCGGCTCATCGATGCGCGCGCCACGGAAGTCGAAGCCACCGAGGAAGTCACGCAGGGTCTGCTCGCGCTCGGTCGGCGCCAGGCGTTGCAGGTGCAGCAATGGGCTGGCCTTGGCGTCTAGGGAGTCCAACTGATGCTGGGCGAAGTAACCCACCACGGTGTTCTCGCCACGGGTCAAGCGACCGGCCAGAGGTTCCAGCTCACCCGAGAGGTTCTTGATCAGGGTCGATTTACCCGCGCCGTTAGGCCCCAGCAAACCGATACGCGCCCCCGGCGTGAGTTGCAGCTTGACCTTCTCCAGGATGGTTTTGTCGCCATAACCCAGGCGCGCATCCGAAAGATCCAGCAGTGGGCTCGAAATCTTCACCGACTCGCGGAACACGAAGTCGAACGGCGAATCGACGTGAGCTGCCGACAATTCTTCCATGCGCTCCAGCGCCTTGATCCGGCTCTGGGCCTGGCGGGCCTTGGTGCCTGAGCCTTGAACCGGGCAATGTAACTTTCCATATGCGCACGTTGCGCCTGCTGCTTCTCGTAAGCCTGTTGTTGCTGGGCCAGGCGTTCGGCACGCGCACGCTCGAACGCGGTGTAGCCGCCGCGGTAGAGGGTGATTTTTCTGCTCGACATGGGCGATGTTATCGACCACGGCGTCGAGGAAATCCCGGTCGTGAGAGATCAGCAGCAAAGTGCCCTGATAGCTCTTGAGGAAGTCTTCCAGCCACAGGATCGCATCGAGGTCCAAGTGGTTGGTCGGTTCGTCGAGCAGCAACAGGTCCGAGGGGCACATCAGCGCCTGGGCCAAGTTCAGGCGCATCCGCCAGCCGCCGGAGAAGTCGGCGACCGGGCGGTCCATCTGTTCGTTGGTAAACCCAAGGCCGGCGAGCATCTTGCGAGCGCGGGCGTCGGCGGTGTAGCCGTCGGCGCTGTCGAGCTCCGAGTGCAGGCGCGCCAGAGCTGCGCCATCCTGGGCCTTCTCGGCTTCGGCCAGGTCGTATTGCACCTGGCGCAAGCGCAGGTCGCCATCGAGCACGTAGTCGATCGCGATGCGGTCCAGGGTGTCGATCTCCTGGCGCATATGAGCGATGCGCCAGTCGGCCGGCAGCAGGCAGTCGCCGGAGTCCGGGGTCAGTTCACCCAGCAACAGGGCGAACAGCGTGGATTTGCCGGCGCCGTTGGCACCGATCAGGCCGGCTTTGTGACCGGCGTGCAGGGTCAGCTCGGCGTCTTCGAGAAGACGTTGCGGGCCACGCTGTAATGTTAGGCTTTGAAGTCGGATCATAATGGCGGCGGAGTCTACCAGCTTCGTTGGCCGCTGGCTGGGTGTGACTATGTGCGCTGACCTGTGGAGCTTTGCTCTCTCGATTTACGCCCGTCCGGGTATGGAAGCCGCCTGCCTGCGGTTGCAGGCGCAAGGGCCGATGTGTGCCTGATGCTGTGCGGCGTCTGGCTGGAACAGCGCGGCGTTATTCTGACCGACGAGCGAGTGCAGGCACTCAAGCACATCGCCGGGCCTTGGCAGACGCAGGTGATCGAGCCGTTGCGCCAATTGCGCGTGCAATGGCGAGCGAGCGCGCAGCACGACCAGCCGCTGGCGGCCTTAAGGGAACGGATCAAGTCGATGGAGCTGGAAGCCGAACGGCACTTGTTGATGCGTCTTGAAGGGCTGGCCGAGACATGGCCATCGGGCAAGCGGGCAGATCAACAACGATGGTTGGAAAGACTGGCGGCCGAGGATGCCGCCAACCTTGACCACGACGCGCTGCAGCAGCTGCGCGTCGCGGCCACCGGCGCTTAGGAAGCGCTGGTTGGGGTAGTGCTTGGCGCTGCCGGTGCAGGGGTGCTGCTTGCCGGTGCGGTTGGAGCGGTGGCGGCTGCCGGGGTCGCTGCCGGAGTGGCCGGCGTAGGCTTCGCAGCGGCCGGCTTGGCGGCAGCAGGTTTGGCTACTGGCTTAGCGGCGGCGGGCTTAGCTGCTGGTTTGGCTGCTGGCTTAGCGGCAGCGGTTTTAGCCACTGGCTTGGCTGCTGGCTTAGCGGCGGCGGCTTTAGCTGCTGGTTTGGCTGCTGGCTTGGCGGCAACGGTTTTAGCTGCTGGCTTGGCGGCTGGCTTAGCGGCGGCGGTTTTAGCTGCTGGTTTGGCTGCTGGCTTGGCGGCAACGGTTTTAGCTGCTGGCTTGGCGGCTGGCTTGGCGGCAGCGGTTTTAGCTGCTGGTTTGGCGGCTGGCTTAGCGGCAGCGGTTTTAGCTGCTGGCTTGGCGGCTGGCTTAGCGGCAGCGGTTTTAGCTGCTGGCTTGACTGCTGGCTTAGCGGCAGCGGTTTTAGCTGCTGGTTTGGCGGCTGGCTTAGCGGCAGCGGTTTTAGCTGCTGGTTTGGCTGCTGGCTTAGCGGCAGCGGTTTTAGCTGCTGGTTTGGCTGCTGGTTTAGCGGCAGCAGTTTTAGCTGCTGGTTTGGCCGCTGGTTGAGCGGCAGCGGTTTTAGCTGCTGACTTGGCTGCTGGCTTAACGGCAGCGGTTTTAGCCGCTGGTTTGGCCGAAGGCTTCTTCGCCGCGCTTGCTGCAACAGCTTTTACCGGTGTACGAGCACCCAGCACTTTAGCCACGGCTTCTTTTACACGCCCAACGCCCTGGGCCAGTTTCAGGCTTTCCTGAGCATCTTTTTTGAGTTGAGAAATGTAGGCGCGGGTTTCAGCTTGGCGATCCTTGAGAGCGTCCAGCAAGTCCTCAAGTTCTTTAACAGCGTCTTTGGCTTTGGCTTGTGCCTTGGCCTTGCCGGCGGTGGCGGCATCTTGCAATTTGGTGCGGGATTTGTGCAGCTTTTCTTGCGCCTTACCGCGCTGTTTTTCCAACTTGGCGAGCAGTTTTTCTGCATCGGCCAACGCTTGGGAACAGGCGCTTTCCAGATGTTCGAGCAAGCTGCCCGACAGTTGTTGGAGTAAGTGCAACGGGGTATTAACAGGCTTCTGTTTGGCCGACATGGTTTACCTCCTGGCTGACGTGGGTGCGGCTCATACTAGCCCTCTGCTCTTACCGCCGCTAGCGCATGTTGACAGTATCGATTGCCTCGCGTTGCACCGTACGAAAATTCTTATCGTGAGAACGAAAATGGGCGGCACTTTTTACGTTTCCACACTGGCATAATCCATCGCACTTTCGGCCGGAGAATGTCCATGTCGCGTTACCTTTTTCTTGTGCTTGGCCTGGCGATTTCGGTAGCCAATGCGAGCGCGCCGTCGCCGTCTAAAACCATCGAGCCGGATCGGCATGACCTCGCCTACAGCCTGGGCGCCAGCCTCGGTGAGCGCCTGCGCCAGGAGGTTCCAGACCTGCAGATCCAGGCCCTGATCGACGGCCTCAAACAAGCCTATCAAGGCAAGCCACTGGCCTTGGATAACGCGCGTATCGAGCAGATCCTCGCGCAGCACGAAGCGCAGAGCGAAGCGGACGCCCAAGCGCCCCTGAGTGAAAAAGCACTCGCTGCCGAACAACAATTCCTGACCCAGGAAAAAACCATGAAAGGCGTTCGTGAATTGGCGGATGGAATTCTGCTCACGGAACTCACGCCAGGTACCGGCCCCACGCCGAAAGCCAATGGTCAGGTTCAAGTGAAATATGTCGGTCGGCTGCCCGACGGAACGGTTTTCGACAAGAGCACACAGCCTCAGTGGTTTCGCCTGGACAGCGTGATCAGCGGCTGGAGCAGTGCTCTACAACAGATGCCCGTGGGTGCGAAGTGGCGCCTGGTGATTCCATCGGCGCAGGCTTATGGCGCCGACGGTGCCGGCGAATTGATCCCGCCGTACACGCCCTTGGTTTTCGAGATCGAATTGCTCGATACCCGTTCTTGAGCCAATAAAAAACGGTGCGACCTGCGCACCTTTTTTTTTATCGCGTATCCCGAAGTCAGGCCTGAGCGACAGTGTTTTCTTTGTGAGCGTTGTGCAGCACTTCAATCAGGCAGTCTTCCAGCTCGAAACGCTCGTGGAGCAGCGCACCCAATTCTTTGAATTTCTCGGCGACACACTTGCCTTGATCGCACAGATCGGTGAATGCCAGCAGCTTCTCGGTGATCACATCGATGCGTGGGTAAAGGGTCTTGGCAAAATCCAGACCGCGCTGGTCTTTGAAGGCTTCCGCCTCCTTGGTGAGCTGGGTGTAGATGCTCAAATGCCCTGCGGACACGTAATCCACCAACACCACGCAGAAATCCTGCAACGGTTCACGCTTCTCGGCCAACGCCTCGGGCTCGGCACCGAGCGCATCAAAAGCCCGAATCAATTCGTGACGTGCCTTCAACCAGCTGTCGATCAGCTTGTGCACCCCGCCCCAGCGTTCGCGAGCATTCTTGCAACGTTCCAACATGATGATCTCTCTTCCCTGGTAGGGGCGCTGCCGCCTGATGCCCGCGCAACACTTCAAGGATAAAGCAGCAGCGGGACAGGGCTGCATCAGACAACTGGTTTGAATAACGCGTGCGGGCCAGATTATGCCCGCATGACTATGGCTTCAAGGTACGCAGGACAGAAAGTTCATACAAGTGTTTAATCCCGTCCTACAAACCTCAGCCTGCTTTTATGGCCTCGTCGGGTACAGGCGACGGCGAAGTAACGGTCGTGAAAACTGCGTGATGCCCAGAATCAGCATCCCCACGAAAAACAGCAGACTCCACTCCGGCAGGCTTAAATCGAACAACGTCCAGTTGATTTCCACGCAGTCGACAGTGCCTTCGACGGCCTGTTGCAGCGCCTGCCAAAGCGAAAGATTTTCGAGCATATGGTTGAGGCTGGGCCAGCAATCGGCGGTTTGGTCGGGTGCGGCATTTTGCAGCAGTATCTGGCGTACCGCCGTGATAGCGCCCAGCGTTGCGCACGCCACGCTGGCCAGCCCATATAGCGAGATGACGGGACGTTTGGGGTTATGGAGGGCAGCGATCAAATTGATCAGCGTGAAAGCAGCCAGAAAAACCCGCTGCAGTTGGCATAAGAAACACGGGCGTAACGAGACGCCGAACTCAAGGTAATAGGATGCGCCCAACGTCAGCGCACCGGCCAGGAACGCCAGAAAAAACAAGGAGCGAGAAGGGGCCAAAGACATGCTTTATCCGCATCGCGAAAAGTAGATCGCTACGGTAGAGGAAAGGCCTGAACGCTTTCAATATACGTTAGACCAGACGATTCCGTGAGAGCCTGCAGACATCCCGCCAGAGGATGGAAGACTTCAGGCGACGGCGCGTAGGAGTTTGCTGCCAGACACTGACCCTCCCTTTTCGCGTGCATCAAAGGGGTGAGGGTTTGACATATCTGAGTCAACCCTCCGCTCCTTCCTACATCAAACCCGGGCAGGGACTGGCAAAGGTGACGCCAATAAACGGCTATCCAACAACCCCAGGCCTTCCTGGAACAACTGGTTGCTGCGTTCGGTATCTCCCAACTGCGCCAACAGACGCGCCAGCTCGGCGCAAGCCTCAGGGTTGCGCTGCACCTGCAGGCTACTTTCCAGATAGTCGCGCGCCTTTCCCCACAAGCTGTTTTGCAGGCACAAGCGCCCCAAGGTCAGTAACAGGCTGGCATCACCGGGATGATCCTTGAGCCAACCTTCGGCGAACTTCAACTGCCGAGCCGAGTCGCTGCCGCGTAAAAGACCGTAGAGGCGAATGAGATGGCTGTCGTAACCGCGCTTGATCGCACCACGCAAGACCTCTTCGGCCTTGGCGTCGGCACCCAATTGGCGCAGTTGCTCGGCGTAAGCCAGCACTAACTGCGGCTCCTGACGTTGGGCAGAGGTAAGCTGCTGCCAAGCCCGCTCAAGGGACTGCTGGCCAGCTTCGTCCTGCTCCTCACGCTGAGCCGCAAGGCTGAGGTTTTCACCCCATGCGCGACGTTCCAGCTCGGCCAGTTCGCCGGCGGGCAGCACCTTGTCCTTACGCAGCTGCGGCAAAAGGTGAATCACCGACGACCAGTCACCGCGCTGTTGATGCAAACGCTGCAACTGACGTAGCACCTGCGCGTTATGCGGATGACGCTCGTGCATTGCCTGTAGCGTGACCAGCGCACCGTCCGTATCGCCACGGTCCAGTTGCAGTTGCGCATGACTCAAGGCGACCGCCAGCTCAGCCTGGGGCTGGCGCTCCAAAGCGCGCTCAAGCAAAGCATCGCACTCTTCGTAACGCCCCTGTTCATTGGCGGCTCGCGCCGCGCCCAGGTAGTACAACAACGGTTGGCGTTCGGCTTCGGCGGCACGCCGCAAATGGCGTTCGGCACTGGCCCAGCGCCCTTCGGCGAGGTCCATCTGGCCCTGTTCGATAGCGATCTGTGTACGGCGGCTGCGATTACGCCGCGACCAAGGGTTGACCACGCCGCCCGACGTGGTAACCAGGCTCAGCAAGACGCGGACCAGGTAGATCGCCAGAATGATGGCAAACACGGCGAACAGGGTCGCCCACAGGCTCGACTCGTAATGCAGCACATGTGGATAAGTAATCAGCACGTAGCCGGTGTGTTTCGAGATGCCCACAGCCAGTGCCAGGGCGATCGCGATCGCCAGCACCAGGATCACATAGAAACGCTTCATCGGCTCTACTCCTGGGACGCCGGCTTGGCAGCCGCCTTGGCTTCATCGGCAGACAGGTGGCGACGATCAAGATACGCCTGCACCGCGGCGAGGCTCGCGGCCAGGTCCGGTGTCACCACCGACACGGCTTTGGGCTCAAGCTCGGCAATGCGCGCCAGCATCGCTTTGCTCTGCGGGTTGTCCTGATTGAAGTTGTCCTGCAGCACGCTGCGCGCCTCACCCAGTGAGCGGCTATACACCGCCGACTCACCATTGAGCGCCGCCCATTGCGCCTGTTCGAGCGCCAGGCTCAGGGCCAGACGCACTTGGTTCAGCCCCTGACCGGCAAGCAACGGACGGATGTTGTCGTCTGGGTTGAAATCAATGCGGAAGTAGCGAGAAATCTGCTCCCACCACTGGCTCCAACGTCCCTCGGTATCGGTGGTGGGACGACCTTCAGCGGCAGGTTCAGTCAGTTGATACTCCGGCGCAATCGCCGCCAGCTGCACCACTTGATCGCGCAGGGCGGCCAATTGCAGGTACAGCCCGGTGCGGTCCGGCTGTTCGGTACTGCGCAGAGCGACCAGGCTCTTGGCCAATTGCTCACGGGCCGCATAGGCGCCCGGATCGCTTTGCTCGCGCAGAATCTCGTCAGCGCCCTGCACCAGCGCCTGGGCGCTATTGATGTCCTGCAAGGCCGACAGGCGCAGGCTCGCCAGGCGGATCAAATGCTCGGCCTCGGCCAGACGCCAGTCCTGACGGCTGGCACCCAGAACGGTTTCCAAGCGCTGGCTCAGGTGTTGCTGATCACCCTGCAATTGGGCCACCAGACGGCGACGCTCCTCCAGCTCATCCGCACCCGGCAGTTGAGCCAGTCGCGCGGCCAGTTGTTGCTGGGTTTGCTTGAGAGTTTGGGATTGCTCATCCAGGGTCTGCACCTGGCCCAGTTGCTGCTGGTGACTGGCTTGCAGGGCACGGACCTGCCAGATCCCCCAACCGCCGGCGGCCACTCCGGCAGCGCCGAGCAGCAAGGCGACGACCGCCAGGCCATTGCCACGGCGCGGCGCGGTGACCGGTGTCTCGACCGGCGCATCAAGTGCGGGTTGAGCTTCATCTTTAGGCAAGGCTGTTTCGCTCACGTATCCGTCCTTTGCGTATCAGAGAGTGGGGGCGGGATGTTTTTATAAGACATAGCCGCCTAACGCCACTAACAAAGCCGCGGCACTCGCGCCGCGACAATCCACCACTTTTTCTGCACCGGCAGCCCGCGCCATTTCCTGGACTCTTGGGCTGGGCACGAACAACGGCAGCTGTGCCACCTCCGGCCAATCGGCGCCGGCCAGGGCTTGCAGGTGCAAGAAACCCTGCCCACTGCTGACCACCACGCCGTTCAAGCGTTCCAACTGGATGCGCTGCATCAACTCACCGGCGTCGTAGGTCGGAAGGAACCGCCGGTACAACTCCAGATAGTCGACACTAGCACCTCTCTCGCGCAAACGCTCTGCCAGCAATTCGCGGCCGCCCTCACCCCGCAGGATCAGCACCCGTGCATCGGGGCGCGCAATAGCCTCGCGTAATGCCGGCAGTTCAAGCAAGGCCTCGCTGTCATCGCCGGTGTGCGGATAGTGAACCGTGTAGCCTTGATCGGCCAGCACCTGCGCAGTAGCTGCCCCCACACTGAACCAGGGCATCTCGGACCATTGGCGATCCAGCTGTTGCAAGGCCAGGCGCGCGGCGGGTTTGCTGACGACAATCACGGCACAGTAGCGGCCGAGGTCACGCAACAGCGCTTGCTGGTCAGGGGTGATCGGCAAAGGCTCGATATCCAGCAAGGGCAGGCTGCTGCTGTAGATCCCGACGTCAGACAACACCGTCGCCAGCGCCGCCGATTCCTCGGCGGGCCGCGTCAGCAGCACACGCCAGCCGGTCACTGCGGGCCGGCCTCGCCGTAGACTTTTTGCAGGATGGCGCCGGCGCCTTTCTCCAGCAGCTCTTGCGCCACTTGGATGCCCAAAGCCGTCGCTTCGCATTGCGGGCCACGCACCTCGGCGGTCAGCAAGGTGCCGCCTTCCGGATCGCCCACCAGACCGCGCAGCCACAAGTTATCGCCTTCAAGTACGGCGTAGCAGGCAATCGGCACTTGGCAGCCGCCATTGAGGTGCTTGTTCAAGGCACGCTCGGCGGTGACGCGAACTTCGGTATCACGATGGTCGAGTGGCTTGAGCAGAGTATGGATTTCACTGTCGGCGCTGCGACATTCGATACCCACGGCGCCCTGCCCACCGGCGGGCAGGCTATCTTCGACACTGATGGCCGAGGTGATGCGGTCTTCGAAGCCAAGGCGGATCAAACCGGCGGCGGCGAGGATGATCGCGTCATACTCACCGGCATCCAGCTTGGCCAAGCGCGTATTGACGTTGCCGCGCAGAAAGCGAATCTGCAGATCCGGACGGCGCGTCAACAGCTGGGCCTGACGGCGCAGGCTGGAGGTACCGACGATGCTGCCCAGGGGCAACTCGTCCAGTGAAGCGTAGGTATTGGAAACGAAAGCGTCGCGGGGGTCTTCGCGCTCGCAGATGCAAAACAGGCCCAGACCTTCAGGGAAGTCCATGGGCACGTCTTTCATCGAGTGCACGGCGATGTCGGCTTCGTTCTCCAGCAGCGCGGTTTCCAGTTCTTTGACGAACAGGCCCTTGCCGCCGATCTTCGACAACGGTGAGTCGAGCAGCTTGTCGCCGCGACTGACCATGGGCACCAGGGACACCTTGAGGCCGGGGTGGGCCAGCTCAAGGCGAGCTTTGACGTATTCGGCCTGCCATAGGGCCAAGGCGCTTTTACGGGTGGCGATGCGGATTTCGCGAGGGGACATGGATCAATCCGTACTGAATAGATACGGCAGATAATAACAGCTCAGGCAAATACGCCTTGATTTGAATCAGCAAGTGCGGGGCCTCCCTGGCCTCGTCGCACCGGGATAAGGAATGCAGTCCCGCTACAGCCCTCGGGCTAAAGCTGCTGCATCATTTTGCGCACGCCGGCGACATGCCGACGACTGACAATCAAGGCATCGCCGTTGAGCCCTTTGAGGAACAACTGAAAGTGCCCCAGCGGCGTACGTTGCAGACGCTCGATACGCTCACGGGCCACCAACGCATTGCGGTGGATACGCACGAAGCGGTCGCCGAACTCATCTTCAAGGGCCTTGAGCGGTTCATCCAACAAGACTTCACCCGCTTCGTGACGCAGCGTGACGTACTTGTGATCGGCGATGAAGTAGACCACTTGATTCAGAGGGATCAACTCGATGCCTTTGCGGGTACGTGCACTGATATGGCTGCGGGGGCCGTTGCCACTTTGGGCGGCGGGCTGGGTCAACGCGGCGAGCTGGGCGCGGCTGGGGCGCTCGGCCTTTTTCAGGGCTTTGAGCAACGCTTCGGCCGTCACCGGTTTGGTCACGAAGCTCACGCCACTGTCTTCCAGCGTCTGCGCGGGAAACTCGTCCTGAGCCGCACACAATACCAAGGCCGGTGGCGATTCGCGCTCACTCAGGCGGGCAGCAACCTGCAGACCATCCAGGCCCGGCATACGGATATCGAGCAACAGCACATCGGGCTTGAGGCTGTCGATCAGCGTCAACGCCTCCTCACCGGTGGTGGCGCTCGGTTCAAGAACGGTATAACCCTCGAGTTCACTGATTAAACGACTCAGTCGCTCGCGGGCTTGGGGTTCGTCATCAACGATCAGGACATTCATATTGCGCTGGATTCCTGCGTGAGTCTCGCACAAGGATAACGTAGACAGGTGCGGTGACTTGCGTCACAGCGATCCACGCTAAGACTCGTGCGAGCGGCAAAAAGTGCCCCGAAGGTGGCACCCATATTTACCCGGACCTGTTCATTAGCGCCCAAGACCCGCTGCCTTCGGGCATCGTCGTAGGGTTTGCTGATACACAATCCGAATACCCCCCTTGTTTAATGGTTAGTCTGGGCTCTGACCGCATTACCCGACTTTGGTGCATTCACACACTATCAGTCCAACTGTAGACGCTTGCCGAGACGACATTGCTCAATCGTCAAATATCGTTTCAATAAGTCTCTTTTTCCAGTCTCGTCCCGGACGCGATCGACGGCAAGGCACTTAGCCATCCTTTGCACAAATAAAAATGCCGACGACCCGCGCCACCGCCTCCGCGAGCAACCCTGTTATGATCGGCGCCACACTTCCACGCCTTTTTATTAAAGCAACTCACGAGCGAATCCATGAGCACCGACAAGACCAACCAGTCCTGGGGCGGCCGCTTCAGTGAACCCGTCGACGCCTTCGTCGCGCGCTTCACCGCCTCCGTCACCTTCGACCAGCGCCTGTACCGCCACGACATCATGGGCTCCATCGCCCACGCCACCATGCTGGCCAAGGTCGGCGTGCTGACCGAGGCCGAGCGCGACAGCATCATCGACGGCCTGACCACCATCCGCGGTGAGATCGAAGCCGGTACGTTCGACTGGCGCGTCGACCTGGAAGACGTGCACATGAATATCGAGGCCCGCCTCACCGATCGTATCGGTGTGACTGGCAAGAAATTGCACACTGGACGCAGCCGTAACGACCAAGTCGCTACCGATATTCGCCTATGGCTGCGTGACGAAATCGACCTGATCCTGTCCGAAATCACCCGCCTGCAAAAAGGCCTGCTTGAGCAAGCCGAGCGTGAATCGGACACCATCATGCCCGGCTTCACCCATCTGCAGACCGCACAGCCCGTGACCTTCGGCCACCACCTGTTGGCCTGGTTCGAAATGCTCAGCCGCGACTACGAGCGCCTGGTGGACTGCCGCAAGCGCGCCAATCGCATGCCTTTGGGCAGCGCCGCGCTGGCCGGTACGACCTACCCGATCGACCGCGAATACACCGCGCAACTGCTGGGTTTCGACGCCGTGGGCGGCAACTCTCTGGATGGCGTTTCGGACCGTGACTTCGCCATCGAATTCTGCGCCGCCGCCAGCATCGCGATGATGCACTTGTCGCGGTTCTCCGAAGAGCTGGTGCTGTGGACCAGTGCACAATTCCAGTTCATCGATTTGCCGGACCGTTTCTGCACCGGCAGCTCGATCATGCCGCAAAAGAAAAACCCCGACGTGCCAGAGCTGGTACGTGGCAAGAGCGGCCGTGTATTCGGCGCGCTGATGGGCCTGCTGACCTTGATGAAGGGCCAGCCATTGGCCTACAACAAGGACAATCAGGAAGACAAGGAACCGCTGTTCGACGCCGCCGACACCTTGCGCGATTCGT